GACATTTTTTTGCCAGTGTTCTTGTTGCTTTCATGGAGTAGTGGATTTTCAGAGGTTCTTACTCTGCCATTCCCACTGACATAAAACTTATGAAACTTGAGTTATTTCTATAAATGCAACTTTATTTGTATCCAGACTAGACAGGCCAGGGGAGATTAGGGATTCAAATTTTTTATTTGATTGGCACTGTAAATTTCATAATGTGCATGCCAGTCTCAAAATTAGTTATTTTTGTAGCACGGTCATTTGCTTGCAACTTTCAGAGAAGATGAAAACTTTAGTAGATAAAACTCTATAAACTTACCTTTAAGCCATTTTATAACACACTACAAAGAACTCGATTTTATTTAAGAATTTGACACCAATTCTTCTGAATACACATAATTTGATCTTCAAGTTTTGTTATCTTAGCATTCACAGGTAAAATTCCCTTACTGTTGGGGAGAAGAAAAATTCTCAGATGTGTTGCATTGTTTAGCCAGCACTGTAAGTTTAAATTCTGGCCACCTAAGGCAAACGTTTTAGAAATAGCTCCCTTACACTTCTGTCATTTCAAAACAGAAACTTTAAAAAAATAAAATAAAAGTAAAATTTTGCTAGGGTTTCAGGGGATCAGTAAACAGCACCTTCTATAAGCTTGGTGCAAGTTGGAATCGACTCGAAGGCAATGGTTTTTTTTTTTTAATTCCGTACCCAAGGAGCACTGTGGCACAGTGGTTAAAGCGCTTGACTGCTAATGGAAAGGTCGGCAGTTCCAACCTACCAGCTGCTCTGTGGGAGAAAGATGTGGCAGTATGCTTCCATAAAGGTTTACAGTGTTGGAAACCCTAGGGGGAAATTCTATTCTATCCTATAGGGTCACTATATGCCGGAATTGACTTGACGGTAGTTGGGTTTCAGTATTCCTCACCCAGGGTCAGAATCAACTGAGAGCTAGACATAGAAAAGAGAGATGGAAATAAAAAATATCAGTTTTATGAACATGATTATGTTACACCCAGTTTTACAGCTTTATCCACCTGTCAAAGGCTCAGATGAATGACATCAAGCCTCTCCCTGCAAGGGGAAGTCATTGCCCACTTAGCAGGGGCAGACCAGGACATAAGAGTCTAGAAGATGGGCTGACTTCCAGCAAGAGGCAGCCCATCTCCTTCTCCCAGATTCAATCAGATGATCCACTTCTCCTTCTTTGGGGAGAATGAGAAAGGTGCCTGAGGAGCCAAGCAATTTATTCTATGGCAATAACTGGATGAGTGTCCAAAGGTGAATAAAAACAAGGATGTTCACCAATTTTGTCAATCTGTCTCATTGAGGGTTTCCCTCATTTTCATTGACCCTCTACTTTACCAAAGGCAAAAATTTTTTTCTGGTTCTGGTGTCCTTGCTTGGCTTCTCTGGCACCAGGCTCCCGCAGGGCGGGCAGTTTCTCTGGCACCAGACTCCCATGGGGTGGGCAGCTTCTCTGGCACCAGGCTCCTGCAGTGCACAAAGCGTCTTTCGTATTAGATTTTTGCAGTGCAGGGCAGCTAGCACCACTCAGCTGCCAGTAGCTTCCTCTGCCACCACCTTGGGCAATTTTATAGTACAGTGCCTCCTATGACATATCTCCTTGCACCCTAGAGGGTGAATTTCTGGCAAGATCTGAAGGGTGGAGTACCAGCAAGTTCCACTGCGGTATACAATAGTGATTTCTGCCATTCAGTGACCCGTAGGCATGAGTTTTCCCAACAAGGTCTGGATCTCAGCCCCAGGGTAATGGCTGCTCTTTATACTTATTATTCCTCTAGTGTTTAGAGTTTACTTACTTCTTACTAGCCAATCCATTGGTTGTTCCAATTTCCTGTTACAGTTAATAATTCATTATAGCAAAATTTCTCTGTTCAAATTATGGTATGTTTTCTCTTCTAAACTGAATCCAGACTGATACGTCTCACTCCTAACTTTAACTCATCATTTAGATGTAAGTTATCACTTTCTCAGAGAAAACTTTCCTGATGCCTCACATCAAATTATATCCTTATTTTTCCGTCATAGCACTTTCCATAATTTAAAAATTATGTATTCATTTTTACGATCATTATGTCCCTGTTTACCTCTACTAGGTAATAAGGTTTAAGAGGACAGGGATCATGTTTGTTTTATTTACTGCTACACATTTATTTTATTTACTGCTATATTCCCATAGCGACCCTATAGGACAGAATAGAACTACCCAACAGGGTTTCCAAGGAGTGGCTGGTGGATTCGAACCACCGACCTTTTGGTTAGCAGCCGAGCTCTTAACCACTGTGCCACTAGGGCTCCGGACTTGCATATAGTGGGGCCTTATTAAATATTTGCTCCTTTTTCATTTTGAACTCTGGTGGTGCAGTGGTTAAGAGCTCGACTGCTAACCAAAAGCTAGGCAGTTGGAATCCAGCACCTGCTCCTTGGAAACCATATGGGGCAGTCCTACTCTGTCCTGTAGGTCAGCTATGAGTCGGAATCAGCTCGACAACAATGGGTTGTTTGGTTTGATATATGTAAGTCTTACAGCTGTTAGTCAGAATCTACTCAATAGCACATGACAAGAACATATGGAAGTCAAGAGTCCCTGAGTGGTGCAAATGGTTAACAAGCTGGACTGATAACTGAAAGGTTGGAGGTTCCAGTCCACCTAGTCGTGCCTTGAAAAAAAGGCTTGGTGATCTACTTCTGAAAAACAAGCCACTGAAAACCCTATAGAACACAGTTCTACTCTAACACACACAGGGTCATCATGAGTCAGAGTTTACTCAACATTAATTGGTTACTAGTTCTATTCAAGTTACTGGTGACAACTAGGAAAAAAATATAATTCAGTCCCCATTCACATGGAGTTGGCAAATTTACAAGAGGAACGAAGATCCACACACAAAATATAAAGCAATAAACAGAAGGTTCCAAATGAATGGTACAAGTTGTAGTTCTAGTAATTCGGAGGTATTCAATAATTTTATTTTTTAAAAGACTTCACATTTCTTATAAATCTCCCTGAGGAACTGATCTCTCCTCAGCTACTTTGATCTCTGGTTAGCTAATTCTAAATTGGGGGGAGGAAAATAACATAAATGGGATCAATTATTTGTTTTAGAAGATATTTTTTGCCAGATTGATAGTGAAATTGAGTTTTTTTTTTTAACATAGCATTTTATTTTAATTAAGCTTCCTAATGTAAAAATAACTATCTATAAAAAGGGAGAAAACTACTCACATTTTTCTTTTTTTCTAGGATAAGTGTTTTCTGCCTTAAAGCGCTTTTTCTAGTATACATTGGTGAGAGCTGGCTGTTATGTGTTTATCTCTATGGTGGGAGACTATTCTATAGGGACTTGTTTGGGCATGAACTTGAGCAAGTCACAGAACCCTGTATTCTAAAGTTTGGAAGGCTTAATAGTTGCATCTCCTCCAGTTTCTTCATCTAGAAATGAGAGGCTACACTACATGCTCTCAGATCCCTCCCTTCCAACTCTAACTTCTTCTAAGAACCTGCACACAGTACAGCATCCATTGAACAAAAATTCCGTATTAAGTATGCCTCCTGCTAAACCAAAAACAAACTAAACCCATTGCTGCCAAGTTGATTCCGACTCATACTAACCCTACAGTTCATGATAATTTAACGAATCATTGGAATTGTAAATTTTGTTTAGGGTATATACTTAGTGAGGCCTGGTGGCATTTAGAGATGTCAAATGCCCATTAGAGTTTTGATTTTTTAGCTCGCTTTGATCATGTCATGCAACATTCTTGGTCTTCAGCTTACTGATTACAAGCATGGCAATATACTGGCACAATAACATGGTTTTTCCTTTGGTTAATAAGCATTTTCTGAGTACTTATGTGCCAGGCACTGACTAGGCAATTAGGACATATAACTAATACATCATTCCTGCCCTCTATGATATTCAGAGTGAATGAAAGAAGAAACTGGCGTTACAAAGGTTAGAAAGTCATTGTAGTCGATCACTTAGAAACCACAACACACTATTTCCTTATTTTTAGTATTTCGTATTAAATAAAAAATCTACCTTTCATAAGGAATAATTAAAACAGGGTGGAGATTATTCAAGCTATTGTGCCAAACTGAAAAACAAATTAGCCGAGTTAAAGATTTGCTTATCAGATGTAAGAAAGCAGACATGGAACACAAAGTGGAAGTTAGATTTGATGATTGGGTACATCGAAACCCACATCTGAGAAGATAAACTTCGTGCACAACGAACGCTTTAATGGAGGGTTCTCCATATACACGGCGACAGCAATAATTTTGTAGCTGCAAAGTTTTGGTACCACTGGATACGAGACAGCTAAAGTACTATAAATGTGAGCTAATTAACCAAGAGAGATCAGCGATAAAACAAACCCAGTTGCTAAAATTCAGATTTGGGAAAGGGATACTCAACCACGTAGAATGGAAACTTCCACCAGTGTTTGGAAGACGCACAACCACCTCTCGGAGACTTGCATGCTATAAGGGAACGTCAGGTTTCCTGTTTTTCTGACCGGTTGATTATAATCTTTTAATCTTAAGCAATCTCCTCACTACAAGGCCAAAGCCAAATATCCTCTTTCTAGACCTTCCCGTCCACACTCTGAACCACCTAACTACAGCTATGGCGCTGAAAACAAACGTTACAGCGCCCACGCCAGGTCACCCTCCTACCAGCCAGCCACTGCCACGCTCTTTTCGCAGCGAAGAACGGAAAGAGCTGGCTTCCCATTGGATCAGCGTGCAGTATGGGCGGCTCCCTATTGGTTTACAGGAGGGGGCGGAGAAAGGAAGAGCCCCAACATCATACCCCGCCCCTGCGGTCTCCTAGCTGCTCAGGATTATGGGAGGCAGGGCGAGTCCGGGAGGAGGAACTAACCCGGAAAGAACTTTGAGGTCCTGGGCCAGCCCTTTTCTAGATTTGGCGTCTCCTCCCACCAACCCAATAAGGCCCGCCCCCACACCCCGCCCGCAGCCCGGAATCAGGTGACCGCCGGCCGGTGTGTTCACGTGGCTGGGGCGCTCTGTCCTGTTTTGGCCATGGCGGCCGCAAACTCTACTGTGGTAAAGCGAGTGGAGGAGCTCGGGGACTTGGCTCAGGCCCACATACAGCAACTTAGCGAAGCCGCTGGCGAAGACGGTGAGGGAGCGGAGGAAAGGGACGCTGGCGGGGCGGAGGGCGGTTCAGATCCGGCGCTGTGCGGTCATAGGGACTGGAGGCTGCGGCCTGTGGTTTTTGGGGTTCCCACGCCGGAGCTGCCGGAGGGGTTTCCCATCCGACCCCTGCTGCACCTTAGATTGCCCACCCCTGAGAACTCAGTTTGCGTTAAGCTAAGGCGTTTGTGTCGAAAATCGCATTGTTTTCATAAGCCTTGAAAACTGGTCACTTCTCAGAAACATCTGTACAGCTGTTTTACTATCTCGGTAGCGGTTGGGAAAGGGTAGAGACTGAGTAAAAGTACGCAGGAAAGTTGAATGGTAGTGCCCTAATAATGGTTGGTTTGCATTCAATAAGATGGCTAGGTGCGTTATAACGGTTGCTCTTTTTACTGCTGCGTTTAAATTTTCCGTTTTATGTGGTATTATAAAGAAGAGTTTTACGTTTGTGTAATTTAGACAATTCTTTCACATACATCATTTCTTAATTATCACAAGGGCTTTATGAGTATTAGAACACTTCGTTCTAGAAACATCTGAAGTTTCATTAGGAACTTAAAAAATTGCTTCCATCTTCTGATTTGAAGTCCAGTTCTCTTCTGGCTGGAGCCCTAGTGGCGCTGTGGTTAAGGGCTCGGCTGCTAACCAAAAGGTCGGCGGTTCAAATCCACCAGTGGCTCCTTGGAAACGCTATGGGGCAGTTCTACTCTGTAGGGTCGCAGTGAGTCAGAATCAACTCCTTGGCAACGAGTTTGGTTTTGGTTTTTCTCTTTTCATTACTTTTCAGCTGCTTACAGGTTCTACATACATTATTTATTTTTGAATCTTTACAACACGTAGGTTTTTAAATTCTTGTGGACTGAGTCATTGTCATTGGACTCATAGGAAAATAGTAGTGGGACATTCTCCCAAGCGATTGAATAGTTGGTGGATTTATTTATATAGGCTCTATGATGAAATGGCCTGGTTTCAGTGAAGGTTCTTTGCCAGATTATCTTTTCTTAGGAGTGAGTTCTTCAAAGGCCCACAGCTCCACCCTGAAGCCGAATTCTTTTTTGGTTTGGGGTAAGTTTGTGGTAACTAACATGAATAGTTAGTTTATGGACAGTTGTAGCTATTATCTGGAAGTGTATCTAAAAAAAAAAAACCCACCTCGTGCAGTCGACTCCTACCCCATAGGGTTTCGAAGTCTGTAAATCTGCAGAAGCCAATTGCCACATCTTTCTCCTGCGGAGCCGCTAGTGGTTTCAAACCGCCTACTTTTCTGAAAAAGCCAAACGCTTTAACCGCTACTTACTAAGTAGGTGTTCCATGATCTCAGCCTCCTGCCGCACTCCGACACCAATTGAGCCAGTCGAAAGTGGTCTCAAAACATTTTTTATTCACTTATCTCTGAACCCAAAAGCCATTCTTATTTTCCCATGGAATATTTCTTTAGTCTGGTTTAGGACTGCAAATAAGAGTCATGCACTGAATATTTTTGCTTGGAGGCTTTATAGTTTTGAAAATTTACAAAAAATAAAATGACAGTGGTCAACATTATGAGCTATTAACCATCATTGAAATCATTTAAAACTTACTAAAGTATTGCTAACAAGATTTTTTTATGAAGTTTTTATTAATAGTTGCGTGTATTTGAATTGAAGTTGTCATTCTTTTGCCACACAACAAAAATAATATATAGACTCAAAATTTATCATTTATTATAACAACTATATTTTCACCAAAAACCAGTTGTGGTGGAGTTAATTCTGACTCATGGCCACCACATGTGTATCAGAGTAGAACTGTTCCACAGAATTTTTAGTGGCTGATTTTTTGGAAGTAGATCATCAGGCCTTTCTTCTGAGGCACCTCTGGGTAGTGTCAAACTGCCAACGTTTTGGTTAGCAGCCGAGGGCATTAACTCTTTGCACCACGGACTCCATATATTTGTTTTAGGTTATTGGGATTGATAGTTCTTGTTGTCTTTTCAAATTACGTTAGATACAGCCGGACATTATTCCATCCAAGAATGCTCGCTTTTATTTCTGGCCAATGTTTAATAATTTATTTCTCATTGTATAATCACAACATGGTTACTAGGTAGAAGTATGCCATGAGAGGGATTTTTTTCCCGAGACATTACATAAGAACCACTTTCTGCTGAACTACTAAGTCTATGACTTGCCAGTCTTACTTTGACTGAATAGTTGTAGTAAAAACATTGCATTTTTTAAATTGGCTTTTCTAAAGTGTGAGCTATACACCCCACCTACCCTCGCACCCCCAGTAATATATTATTGGGTTTATGTGAGATACCTCCTCAGCAGTTCTTTAATGAGTTCAGTACAGTCTTAATTCTGCAAATTAAGAAAATCTCAACACAGTCTCTGAAGATGCACATGTATCTTCATATTCTGTACAGTTCAAATATTCATACAATTTCAGTTCACAATAGAATCTTTTTTTCTGGGTTGCATGGGTGGGACTTCAGGCCGAAGGGAGATAGGAAGATAATGCCTTTAAAGAAGTAGCTTTCAATTCAGGTGAATCAGAGTCTGGTCTAGCTACAGGTAGGGCCTTACCTAGAGAAATTTAAGATTATCATATATTGCCAGAGGACATAGCTTAATTTGGTGGTGCTTTCTCCACCGCTAGACAGTTTATTTATCTGTACAACTGTGAGAGTAGATCAGATGGGCTTGCCCCAGGTGCTACATTTTCTGTCCATTGGCCGGTGAGGAAGAAATGGTATTTAATATTTCAAGAAGGGGGCACAAAGGCGCATACTCACGACGTATGGTGTCCTGAGTGTGGGCATATCTACATCTGACTACATGAGATTATGTAGAAAGGTGGATAGTGCCTTCATGTGGCTGCTTTGTAGGGTAGGGAGGAGAAATCCATAAGAAAAGGTGAAATTGTAAAGCAAAGGAAATATGAAGTTAGAGAAATGGAAAAAATACAGAGACAGTGAAGGGGGAGGGAGGGTAAGTTGTGATTAAAGGGCATATCAGGAGTTTTAAATTCCATTTCCTCCAGGTTTGGAAGGAAGGAGGTAATTTGTTCCATTCTGAAGAAATAAAATGATCAGAGGTTAATTGTAACAGCTGTAAACACAATTGTCACAGTACTAATTGTCTCAGATTGGCCGACATATTATGAGGCATTTGATTTGATCAATCATCTTTTGGAAAATTGTTTACATTTATAAAATTATAAGTTTTCAGTGGAAGCTCTTTTTATAGATTTGTGTATTACTTGTACTGTTCTAGTACAGGTTCTAAAATTATTTTAAGCAATTTGAGTCAGTATCGTAAAAGGATTATGAAAATACAGAATGCGTTTAAGAAATGGTAAAAGTGTACTTCAAATGTTTTCAGTATTTTGTTTTCCATTGTAAAATACTGATGATAAATTTACTTACTAGGATTTTCGTCATTAGGTGCCTTCGAGTTGGTTCCAATTCATAGTGACCCTATGTACAATAGAACAAAACACTGCCAGGTACTGCGCTATCCTCCCAATTCATTGCTATCTTTGAGCCCATTGTTGTATCCACTGTGTCAGTCCATCTCATTGAGGGTCTTCCTCTTTTTTGCCAACTGTCTACTTTACCAAGCATGATGTCCTTCTCCAGGGACTGGTCTTTCCTGATAACATGTCCAAAGTACGTAAGACGAAATCTCACCATCTTCACTTCTAAGGAGCATTCTGGCTGTACTTGTTCCAAGACAGATTTGTTTGTTCTTCTGGCAGTCCATGGTATATTCAGTATTCTTATTAGGGTTAGACATTATGATATACTTCATGCTTTACATAAGATATCCCTACAACCATGTTGCTTCTCTGTTGGCCGTAAAACATTTACATGAATTCAGGAACATAAAGATGTGTAACTTTTTTTTGTTTAAGTGACACTCCAAAACTATCTGAAATAACTGTCATGTTTTTATCCCTTATAGATCATTTTTTAATTCGGGCCTCTGCTGCTCTAGAAAAACTGAAACTCCTTTGTGGAGAAGACAAAGAATGTTCAGATCCATCAAACCTTCTAGAACTTTACACACAGGTATTGAAACAGATATGGCCTTGGCATCTTTTGGGGGACAGACTGCTTATTTAGGTGGTTGACTTGAAGGTTTACTTGTAGTGAATCAGTTTATTCTCTATTTAAAATATTTAATTTTGTTCAAAAAACTGTACGTATGAAGGATATAGACTTGAAACTTTGAGTTGACATGGAAAGAAGTCACATTGATGTAAGAAATCAGGGAAAAAAATCTTACTGATAGAAGAATGGCTTCCCTTTACAGACACTTAAGCAGAACACTATTGTGTGCAATTGTGGTTATGCAGGAGGAGTGGGAGACTCAAATAAAAGCCCTATTTTTTTTTCCCTGAAATTCACTTTTCCTTGGCATTGTTGATATAATTCTTCCTGCTAGTGTCATGCAAGATCCTAAGATTTTGCTGTTCACCCTTTTTTTTCTTTTACTTTTCTTTCAAATACAGGCCTCTGTTTGGACAAGACCTATTTTCTTGGTTTTCTCAGAAACTGCTGAGGCATGCTGAGTGAATTTAGTCAGTCGCAAAAGGACAAATATTTTATAAGACTGCTATTATAAGAACTCAACAAAAGGTTTAAACGCAGAAGAAAGCATTCTTTGATGGCCATGAGGGTGGGGAGGGAGGGAGAAGGGTATTCACTAACTAGATACTAGACAAGAATTATCTTAGGTGAAGGGAAGGACAGCACACGCTACAGGGGAAGTCAGCACAACTGGACTAAAGTAAGGCTAAGAAGTTTCCTGAATATAGCCAGACACTTTCGAGAGATAGAGTAGCAGGGGCGTGGGGGTCTGGGAACCATGTTTTCAGGAGACATCTAGGTCAATTGGTATAACAAAGTTT